TCCTCCGATCCCGCTCGATCCCGCTCTGCCGACGGGTACGCACCGGTACTTGTCCAGGCTCACCATCCGCCCGTCGATGTCCTTGGCTGAGAACTCATGCATGGAGCGGGCGCAGCGCCAGTCGTCTCGGGACGCGCACTGCAGGGTAAGAGGCGCTCAGCGGCCGGGCGGTGGCGGCGGGGAGCTTAATCCGAGATCCCGGGAATCCGCACCCCAGGAAACCAGGGCCCCGGGGCGAGGGAAAGCAGACGGGCAGGCTCCCCCTCCTGGCGCACGCCTACTGCCAGCTGGGTCAGGGAGGCAGAAGACACTGAAGATCCCCGGAGAGATCAAGACCCAACCGGCGTGAGGGACTAGCCCGCCCAGGCCCCCGCGAGCGGCCCCCCACCTTCCGCCGAGGGCGCGCCCTCTTGCGCTTGCACGCACGGGCCTTCCGCCTGCCCGAGGCTGTGCGTCGCCGCATGCCCCTGCCCTTGCCCCTGCCCTGGCCCCGCGGGGAACGGGCGACTGCGCGGCCCATGTCGGCCAGTATTGGGCCGCGCCAGTGCCCCGCTAGCGCCACGCCCGAGGACAAAGGGCCAGTAGTCAGGACGCCTGGACTGTGACGCCACTGCCCCGGGGTAGAGCGGGCGGGGAGGGGCGCGCGGCCCCTAGGCGCGCAGCAGCCGCGCGACCCGCGTTCCCCACCCTCGCGGCTAGCCCCATGACTTCGCCGCCCCTCTGGTCCCGGGGACAGTGACCCGGGCCCCCAACTGCCCACCCGTTCCCAGGGCCCCCAAGGCCAGTCTCCCCCTGAGAGCCCTCCTACCCGGCCCAGAGCCGGGCACGGCCGGGTGGCCGCTAGAAAGGTGACCGAGGGGACCCCGCCCCCGCCTCGGAAACAGAAACCGACAACATCCCCCTCCCAGTGGCCGGATGCTCTCCGAACCCAGCCTCCCTGCCTAGCGCCCCCTGGTCCTGGCCCCGTTCCAGACACAGAAACCGACGCCCCGATTCCCGCTCCGACCCGCGCAACCGCCCAACGGCCTGGCCCGGACGCCGCTCACCATGGTGCTGGCCAGGCCTGGCACGGCGAAAGCCCCGCACAGCAGCGCCGGCTTCAGCAGGCGACAGAGGCGGCTGAAGCTCATCCCTGCAGCGGCGGGGGGCCTGGGAGCAGCGGCACCTCCCCTTGCCCAGCCGGCCAATGGACGCGCGCCGCCGCGCCGCACACCTCCGCCTCCGGCCACGCCCACCAGCTCTCTCATTGGTCCTCCGTGCCCGCCTCGCTAACGCGTGGAGACGTCTGCCAATGGGAGTGCAGGGTGATGGGCGGGCATGGGCGGGGCCTGCCTGAAGCTTTGTTGTTGTCGACGACTGCGCATGCTCCTCGGCAGGTGGGCGGCCGCGTCCAAGCAGGCGGTGCCTGGGAGGATTAAGTACAGTTATCCGGGTGGTTGCTGGCGACGCCGGCCGAACTGTTTACCACCCGGGGAAAATACTGTAAACCCGTGTTAGAGGCGCCAACTCTCTGGAAAATCGCCCACAGTTTAAAAATTGTTGTGTTTTTAATTAATTAGTAAAATCAAGCTGAGTTTGGTCAAAATCCTGTCCACGCTCGTACTGGGAGATGTCCTAGCTCCCCAAGACCCTGACCTCGTCTTATGGGGACCGAGAGAGTCTTGAGAGTCTCAGTGGCTGGGCCTGTGCGGTGTTTAGGGCGAAACACCGTGTTTGGGAATCGTTTGTGCTGTAGCGGCATAGATAGTCGCAGGGGGCGCCGGGGGCGTGAAGACAGTTAAACGTTTAACCCCGAACCTTGGAGGCCCTGGTATTCCGCCCTCCCCCCAGAGAACGCTGTATTTGCTCAGAAAACACAAAGTCCTAAGGGCTTGAATTTCTAGCACTTTTATGATCTCTAGGTGTTTACAAAAAACACGACCATGCTTCCGCTGGTTGGATTTTCCTGTCTCAGGCCTTTCCGCAGCAGCAGTGGACGCCTTCCTTGTTCTTGGGGCTGACTCACGGCATTCCTCCGCCCTCCCCGCTGCCCTTCAGACCCAGGTGACCTGTGGGCTGCTTTGTGTCTCATTCTCACCTCTCACCCCCTTCTCTCACCCCCTCCGTCATGAACATTTCTGCAGGCAGATCAGGGCTGGGCTAGTTTAGGGGAATTAAGGACCCCTTTCTCTGTCCCCCAGGTTGGCCCCAGCCCCTCTCCCCAGGCCTCCCAGGAGACAGAGCAGGGGGCATCTGATGGAAACAGAGGGACCCCAGGGCTGGGTCCCCCTAATCCCAAGCTTGCACAGTTATCTTCACGTGGTCTCCCCTTCTGCCTGGCCACAAGGGCGGGCGGGGTTCTTGGAGTCACTCCTGGCTGGCCACCCCCACTTCTCAGGAAGCCACCCTATTTCCTCCCCTCTCTGGCAGCGCTGTGTGAAATGGCCACTCGGTGACCCTGTTCTCAGCCTGGAGGTTCAGCTGATTCCAATTTTGCTGGAGTTGTTCTCTGCAAAAGTTGTCATAAACACGTTCACTGAAATGTTTATTTCAGTGTGGCCTGAGAGCGTTGCCTCTGAGGGCGAGGTCAGGGGAAATGTGGTGGCTCTCCACCGTGTGTGTCCCTGATTGGAGCCAACTGTGGTAAAGGCAGAGTGTTGGGTCACCGGGCTGCTGGGCCGGCCTGCTCCCGGGGAGCCATGCTCCAGGGTCCAGTAGGGATTTGAACAGGGGATTTTACAGTTTTTCCCAAGTGACTGTGTCTTACAGATGGCAAAATGAAGTCCGGGGAGCTCCCAGGCCCCGGGGAAGCTCCCTGGTGCTGGTCAGAGTTCCCCTGTGCGCCAGGGAGGGGGCTGACCTGTCACCGGCCACGCCCTACTCACCAGCTCCAGGAAGGACCGGCCGGGCCCTGTCCGCAACGTTATTTCTTTTCGTTTTTTGTTAAACTTATTATTGAGATAAAATTTGCTATTTTAACCATTTCAACATGTGCAATTTGGTGGTTTTTACTCTAGTCGGAGTCATGCAGCCATCAGCATTCTGTAGTTCAGAACATTCTCATCGCCCCAGAAGAAACCCCAGACGCATCCCCGAGCTGTAGGCAGCCACTAAGCCACTCTGTGTCTCTGCCTTTGACCCTTCTAGATGTGGAATCCCACGATCCGTACTCGCATGTGCCTGTCCCCTCTCACTGAGCACGTTTCTAAGGTTCACCACGGGGAAGCAGGCATCAGAGCTGTGTTCCTCTGTGGCTGAAAAGGATTTTATTGTGTGGATGCACCACTGTATTCACACGCTCATCTGGTGATGGATACGTGGGCTGTTTCCAAATGTGTGTGTGCTAGCAGTGCTGCCGTGGACATCGGTGCACACGTCTTCTCCTTTCTTTTGGGTACATCCCACCTGTCTCCCTCCAGTCCCACCAGCTCTGTGTGTGTGTGTGTGTGTGTGTGGTGGGCAGTGACTCTGGACTCTGCCAGCCAGTGTGGCAGGGCAGGGTGTGTAGGTAGCCGGGGTCCTGGACTGAAGCCAGCTGAGAGGTCACCGGCCATGCAGCATGTCCTCAGTCACCCTCCATCTGCCTTGGACCATGGTGTGGCTCATGGTGACCCCCAGGCCCTGCACACCTCTTCTGCTGTCTCTACCCACCTCTTCCCCTGCCTCCTCTTCCCAGGAATCTCAAGACGGCCCTCACCGGCCCTCTGCTTTACCAAATGCCAGGGCCTTCTCCAGCCATTGGTCGCCCGATGACGTGTCCAAAGCCTCAGACAACATTCTGTGCTCTGCAGTGTTTTACTGTCCGCATCTGGAGGCACCGGGCCTTTCTTCCAAGGCTCTTCGCCTGCCAGGTCTGCTGAAACCTGTCCACTGCGGGGGACCCTGACGGTGTTTGAAATCCTGGTGGCACAGCCTCCAGCCTCCCAGCAGCACGCAAGGCCCCACACAGGACGCGCGGACAGTCGGGTAGTGTTCTCAGTGGTTACTGCCTGCGTGCCGGTCGTGAGGCGGCGGTAACACGGTATCACACACCAGGGGACTTCAGACAGCAGAACCTTCTCTCACAGTTCTGGAAACCAGAGTCCAAAAGCAGGGTGGCGGCAAGGCCACACTCCCCCTGAGGGCTCTGGGGGAATCAAGCCTTGTCTCTCCCGTAGGCGCCAGCCTCGGCGGCCCTTGACTTGTGGCCACGTCACGCCATCTCTGCCTTGGTCTTCACATGGCCATCTGTTGGAGACCAAGAAAAAGACCCCCAAAAGAACATGACTGCAAGGCACGTGTTCTAACGACGGTAGAGAGTTGCACGGTTGACTGCTGGCTTTGAGAGACGGCAAGGCCTCTCCTGTGTCGAATGAACGAATGCTTGGCTCTGCTTTGCGTCCTGGGGCGGAGCGTTGCCCCAGCAGAATGATGGCTAACTGTCTCCCTGGAATGACGTTTTCCCCAAAGAGTAATACACCTTAGAAACCATTCTTTAGAATCACGCACCTTAACAATCATATTATGTTTTAGAGTGACGTATCTTCGTGATTATTTGCTAATCCTGCAAGAGCTATTAACCCAACTAATCATCTATTACTTTTGAGTATGGGAAAAGACCTCCGAGTACGGGAAAGAGTAAAACTTTAACTTTTAATTAATAACTGGTTGTTATAAGGAAATATGTAATTGTATTGTAAAAGAATATTTGATTGTATACTTGATTATACTGGGGAAATTGCAAGAAAAATGATGTAATTTTACACTTATGTATAAAGAAAGCAGGATGGATGCAGCAGGGGTCGCTCTTGCAGAATATGCTGGGCGCCCACCCGGCCCCGTTCCTTTTAAAACACTTTTAATCCTTTCGTGTCGCTTTGTTTCGTGTGCGGTTTTGCTGGACGCGGCAGCCGTCTGCCTTCTGTGCCTGCTTATCTGTCTGTCCGTGTCTCCTCTTCTAAGAACACCAGCCATTGGGTCGGGGCCCACCCTACTCCAGAAGGACCTCGTCTTAACTTATCATATCTGTAAAGACCCTGCCTCCAAATAAGGGACTGGGAGCCACAAGGGGCCATCCTTCCCACGGCCTCTGGGTTCTGCTGTCTGCCGCTGCCACCTCCGTGCTGTCCCCGCAAAGCCTTACAGCTCTCTGCCCCGGGTCCAGGAGGGCCAGCGCAGGGCAGGTCTCGGTCCGAGGACGCGCCCCACCCCGTCTGCTCTTGGTGGCAGCGAGACCCCCTTCCACCTCTGGGGTGGCTCATTCAAAGCCTCGTGAGAACTGACCCAGCCCCCCTTAGGCCTTGTTTCCATGGTCCCAGCCCCACAAGGGGGCCATGGACCTTATTTACATTATTAGCAAGCTGTCCAGTCCCCTAGCTGGGTCACAGGCACCTCACATTTGCATAGTCGCACCCTGTCATCTTGCGGGAGTCACCAAGACCAAGGCTAGAAGGGTCATATTTAGGGACGCACTGCACTGCTTCCAGGACACCTGGCAGCCTCTCTCCTTGTTGGTTTGTCTCCTTTGTTGTGTTTAAGGAGCACTTAAGAAGCTCAGGTGTCACCAGTCTAAGAGCTCCGCCCTTATTGCCCATTACCACCCGTCACAGGAGCCCCGGTAGCACCAAGGTTAGGCGCTCAGCCGTGAACCAAAGGTTGACAGTCCAAACCCCAACCAAGGGCACTGCTGGAGAAAGCCCCACGGTCTGTCTGCTCCCGTCAGGATGACAGCCTAGCACCTCACGTGGCGACCCTGCTGGGTCACGTTGGGCCGCCATGAGTCAGAATGGCCTGGACAGCGGACAAAGTCAGCCCATGAAGGGGTGCTTCTGCACGGGCGGAGGGATGCTGGGGCACGCGGAGGTGAGGCGGCGCACCCCGGGGCACGGGGAGGTGAGGCGAGTGAGGCGGGGAGGTGAGGGGAGGTGAGTCCTCACGGCTCCTCCACCTTCCGTCCCTGCCATTCCTGCTCCATCCTCACACCCAGCGACCCCCCACCGAGGCCACGGCTCTAAAAGGGGGTCTCTCCCACTCTCACTGCTGACATGGGCACTGGATCCTGCTCCATTCGAGCCTTCCCGTGCCTGGCAGGGCGTTCAGCGGCACCCTTGGCCTCCACCCACGCGATGCCAGCAGCAGCCCCACAGTGAAGCAACCACAGTTATTCCTGGACAGGGCCAAGCGTCCCCTGGGGCAGAAATGCCTTGGATGGGGTTCTTCTACTCCGAACCCCTGAGTGCCAACCTCTGGCCCTGTTCTGGTTCCCAGTGCCGCTCTGACAAGAATATACCACAAACGGGACGGCCTTAACAAACAGGAGTTTATTCTCACAATTTGGAGGCTTTAAGTCCAAGTTCAAAGTGCCAGGCTCTAGGGGCTGGGGGGAAAGCCCCTCAACCTTGGGGTCCAGCTCTGCCTCCTGCTCCCGGCCCACTGGAGCTAGAGGCGTTTCTTCACTCAGACAGCTGCTGGCTGCTGAGGCTGACAAGCCCAAGGTTGACAAGTAAAAAGGCACAGTCCCAATGTCACCAAACCACATGGCAGGCCATTAACTTAAATCCATTGTAAGTCCCAAGGTCGGCAGAGCATAGCAGGCTGCTGAGCCATGACACAGCTACATTGCAAGGTCCAAGTGTGCCATAGGCTAGAGACCATTCCCAAGGCTTCTCCTTATATACAGGAAGCAGACCACATCCCAAAGGCAGCTACTCAGCTGCTTGTGGTAGATCCCACCATGGAGTTGATTGCCAGTCTTGGGGAATAACTACCACCAGCTGCCCAGCCACTCAACCAGGCCCAGCCAAGTTGACACACAAACCGAACTACCACAGGCCTCTTCTCCTCCTTCTCGTGGCCTCCCCCAAGCAGTGCACTCTGACCCAGCCACACCTGCCTCCTCGCTGCCAGCACGCCAGGCATGAACCTGCCTCAGGGCTTTTGCACTGGGGGTGCCCTCCACCCACTACACCTTCCCCTGGACACCTGCATGCCTCCCTCCCTCCCCCTTGTCCTTTCACTTTTTGCTGAAATCTCTCCTCTCTGCCTTCCTGACCTCTGCCTTGGATGTTGCAGCCTTCCCTGTCCCCCATCCCCCCACTTCAGCCTTTGAAGCTGCCGGTGTCCCTGTCCCCCGACCCCGCTCAGCTGCTTCCTCCATGGTAATGTCACCTTCAAACATGTTGCATCATTTACACATCACGCTAAGTTCCTGGGATCTGTCTCCCGGCACATCAGGGCTCCTGGTCTGTTTTATTTACTGTCCGTGTTGCTTGGGTCCCTGGGTGGTACAAAGAGCCCTGGCTCAGCTCCTAACCTGAAGGTTGGCTGTTTGAACCCATCCAGCAGCACTGAGGAAGAAAGGCCTGGTGACCTGCTTCTGTTCCCAGGGGTTCCTGGGACCGAGTGAGGGTCCTTGCCTGCTACTGACAAGAGCTGAACGGGAGAGGCAAAATGTCCACACAGACCAAAGTTCATTAAAGAGAGAGGAGAAAGAGGCTCACCAGGGAGAGATGGGGACGGGCTTCTGCCTACATCAGCCTCCAGTCTCTCTCCAAACAAAGGATTTCCTAGGATGCATGAAGGGTTTCAGGTGGGGGAGAAAACATCATCTTGTTCATAAAATGGGCAGGGATTTCCGGTACAAAGTTGGGGTTATGAAAATCAAGTACACGCACAGGAAGTGGCCAAGATGGAGTCCACCACAAAGCCTGCTGGAACAAAGATGGGACCTGTCGTGAAGGCTGCTGGGATGCCTGGCGTAAGTTATTCTGGGATGTGGCACATGCATGACGGTCTCTGGGCTCCAGTTCGAGGCCCAGCCAGGGACTCCTGCTCTTGCCTGTCTCTGGTGGAAGCCCACGTTGAATTTCACTGCATGTGCTCTGCACCGAAGCAGAAGGCCCTACAGCATCTTGTAGCTGCTCAAGCATATAAGGCGTTGAAATAGAGCTTCTTATCTCGTCTAAGGGCCTGCCTTGTTAACGGCAAGCAGTTTTCCGGTGCCCGTAGCAAAAGCTATGTGGTGGTCGGCACACAGGCTTAAATTCCAAGAACACCAAGTCTGAGGCTGCCTGCTTCAGCCAGCCCGATTCCCTGTCTGTCTCGCTTCAGTAAAAACAAAATGAAACCTGTTGCCATTGAACCCATTCTGACTCCTGGCGACACTGGAGGGCAGAGAACTGTCCCATGGAGTTTCCAAGGCTGTACCAGTGACAGACGCCAACGGCCACATCTTCCTCCCGGAGCCACTGAGTGGTTGAAGCGACCTTTCCATTAGCAGCCGGGTGCGTAACTGCTGCGCCATGAGGGCTCCTTTGGTGAAGATGATAGCCAAGAAAACTTAGTGGGGCACGTGCAGACCATGCAAAAATGGCGTGGGTGGTGTCAATGGACCTCTGACTTCACAAGGGGAGGAACCAAGACGAACATCAGCAGCCCAGGGCTGGTTCCTTCCGAGCAGAGGGCAGACATGCTGCCACCCTCCAAACTTTTTACCAAATCTGACAGCAACCGTCCCTCCCACAGCACTCTCTACTTCTCTGCTGGTTTGATAATTTATTGCAATAGCCACACAGAGTTCAGACACAATACTCATGCTGTCACGATTATGGGGCTTGTTAGGGAACTGATGGGTTACAGTCCAGCATCAGAAAGGACTCAGGATGGATCTTCAATCAGGACAGCTTCCTCTCAGCTGTGCTCTTCTCTGGCCTCTGCTTCTCCTCTGCTCGGGCCAGCATTACAAAATCTTTTAGCTGTGCCAGTACGTGCTCAAGCATCCTATCCAAAGGCACTCAGCTTTCTTGCTCCAAGGGCTGGGAAGCCTGCTGTCTCATGCCAGTCTGTTAGTCCTGTTGGTTCATTGGCCTCAACTGCTGCTGTCTCTCTGCTATCTGGGCACAGGGACCTCAGGTCCAAGCACGTGCTCCACTCCTGGTTCCTCTTTCTTGATGGTAGTGAGATTCCCCACTTTCTGCCCCTGGCTGGGATGGCTTGTTTCAAGCCTATCAAGGTGGCAAAACTGACCAATCCCCATGTTAGGGTTCCATACACCTTATTTCCATGGTCCCACCCCCACAAGAGTGCCAAGCACCTTATTTACATTATTAACAAGCTGTTCAATCCCCCAGGTGTGCCACCCAGTCATCTGGTGGGAGTTACAAAGACCTTGGCTAGAAAAGCCACATTAAATAATTAATTGCACCTCAGTCCTCTATAACACGTGGGGTCGCCATGTGTGAGAACCAACCAGATGGCAACAGGTTTTGGTGTTGCTTGGTTGCTTAGTGATTGAATGGAATGAAGAGCTAAAGGAAACTGACTGATCACCTTCCACGAGGCTAGACCAGCCTCCTTTATGACCTGGAGCACGATGCAGAGTTCAAGACCCTTGGGTGTGGGGCCTGTGGGACACCCAGGCGGCTGGGCTGGGCCCAGAAGAGAGCGAGGTTAAAGATGGAGATGGGAGCCCCGTGCCAAGCTCTTTCCAACTAAAATCACTCTTTTAGATCTTCATTTAACCCTCTAAAATAGCGACATTCATTATTTCCGTTGTGGAGACGGGGAAACCGAGTCTCGGTGCAGCCCTGGGGCCACCATGCAGAGAGGACCCCGTACACTTTGGTGCACACATATTTATGAAGCGCTTCCTAGGACGCCCGATCGTTTCTGGAAGCCGGACAGGCCCCTCACCCCGTGTGGGTCTCAGTTGCCGGGTCTGCATCTAGCCTATGCTTCTCAGGATTCTAAAGCACCGCCCAAGTAGGGCGTTGAATGGAAACTACAACTCCCAAGAGACCTTGCGACTCCACCTCGCGATGGTGGGCCGTGCTGTTGCACGTCTTTCGTGCAGCTAACCGCCGCTCACGGAAGGCCCAAGCTGTCCTTGCCGCTGCCGGTACCAAAAACCAAAATGAAATTCGCCTCCATGGAGTGGATTACGACTCATAGCGACGCTCATTGGGTTTCCAGGAGGTAAATCTTTACGGAAGTAGATTGCCACATCTTCCTGCGGCAGAGTGCCTGGTGGATTTGAACAGCCAATCTTCTGGTTGGCAGCCAAATGCCTTAGGCACTACGCCACCAGAGGCGTTTTACAGGTACCAAAGGTCGCTAACCGGCGTTCGCTGAGGACAGCCTTAGACGGAGAGGCGTGCAGGGGCTTGGCCTGGGTTTGGCGCAAGCGCAGCAGCGCGGGTCCTGTTTGGCGCAGGCGCAATGCTTTGGCGGCGAGGAGCGACGCGGCCATGGACGACGAGGAGGAGACTTATCGGCTGTGGAAAATCCGCAAAACTATTATGCAGGTGAGGAGCGCGGGGGCGGCCCTCTTTGGGAAAGACGGTCAGGGCAGGTTTGTGGATCAGATGAGCCAGGGGTGCAGCAGTCTGGGGATTCCCGGAGGTGGGCTAGAGCGTGGCGTCCTCTCCTCTTTCCGTCCCTACGGCTGGGTGAAGACTTGGGAATCTCTAAGGCCACCCCAGTCCCCCGGTGCAGAGTCTGCCCCAGGGGCGCCGCCTTACCCCCCCCATATCTGCCCTTAGCCCAGCGGCGGGACAGATGCCTGCGTCGGGGGGCCCGGGGGTGGGAGGTCTCACAGCACGCCGAGGTTGGGGGCTTCCGAGAGGACTGAGGGACCCTACGGAGTAGTGACCGAGGTGATTGCCCTTAGTGGTCCCGGCGAAAGGTTAAATGTGGCGAGAGTTGCGGTTGGAGAGTGATGGGGCCGCAGAAGGAAGAGGCAAGTGGCCACAGACAATGAGGAGCATCTTTAGAGAATCCTTGCCCCGCTTCAGTCACCGAACTGTCCGTTTTGTCGCTTTATCCTGAACCTTGGGGAGTGTGGTGCCTTAAGGCTGTGGGCACTTGTGATTGGAAAACGGGGCCAGAGCTGGGACTTGAGCACCAAGTGCCGGCCATTGATTGAGGGCAGAGCCAGTGCTTGGGGTCTGGGCAGATGGAGACACAGCTGGGAGGGATGGCCTGGGCAGGCTGGGTCAGAAGCAGGGTGAAGGCTACAAGGCCGGTGGTTCTGGGTTTCACCGCAGAAACCGGGGCTCTTTGAGCAGAAGGTTCTAGATGAGGCCCCATTTAGGGAGGGAAAAGGGAAGGTCAGGGCTGTGAGCTGCTCTTGATCTCCGCCCCTTCCCTCCATGAAGTCCCCCAGCTGCCTTACCCATCCTCCTGAGTCCCCGTGCCTGAAGTGGCAGCTACCTGGTCTCTGTCTTTAGGGTGGCTTTGCGTGGTGGGTGAGAGGCTGGGTTCATCCTCACAGGTGTAGGCCTGGCTGCACTCCCTCCTAGGCCTTTGCCTCCTGGGCCCTCGGGGGATGGTGGTCGCCAGTAAGACACGAGTCACACACACTCAGTGGGACCACACTTCAGTCACACAGAGAAGGGACAGCAAGGTCAGCTTCAGTTGTGCCACGAGGTGCCTGTGCACGAACAAGCAACAGAGAAAATTAGAGTGTGTCTGGGACAGGGACGGAGGCTCCCCTGAGGAGGAGGGGAGGTTGGGAAGGAGGCCTAGTCCAGCCTCCTTCTCAGAGAATGCTCTGGGCCCACAGCCTCCGTGGCCCGGGTGGGACGCACGGAGGCAGCTTATTCTCTCAACAGGGCCTCAGTGGGTCCATTCCCATATGGTAGTTGTGGGATTGGAGGGGGACAGTGTTCAGCCACTTCACTGTCGTTGCTCTGTCCTGTCTCGCTGACTGACTTGAGGTTGGTGGCTGCAGTATGCTCACTCTGTGTTCTCTGCAGCCAGAGTTTGAATCTCCGTAACTACACCCAACCCCAGGTTACATCTGCTCGGGCAAGCGCTCACCCTGGGGTCCCGGGCTCTTGTCCCTGCAGCTGTGCCATGACCGTGGCTATCTGGTGACACAGGATGAACTGGACCAGACGCTGGAAGAGTTCAAAGCCCAGTTTGGGGACAAACCAAGTGAAGGGCGGCCGCGGCGCACAGACCTCACGGTGCTGGTGGCCCACAATGATGACCCCACTGATCAGATGTTCGTCTTCTTCCCAGGTGAGGGCCCTGACGAAGACCACATTTCTGGTGGGGTCTGCCGAGCACACCTGCCTGTGTGGCCCCTATCATCTTCCCAGCCTGGGGAATGTTCTCCCGGCCCTCTGTGCCATTGGGCCGTGCCGTTGATCTCTGACCTCTCTGACAGCTCCTTCACAGGGCCGGCATTTGCTGCAGTTCCCCCTCTTGTTGGTCCCCTCTGTCTTCCTCAGTTTAGTTCTCTGAGCAGGATTTTCACAGAGTCATCCCACCTGGGCCTCTTGTCCACACCCTCATGACTGAAAACCGTCCTGTCCTGCTGCTCACTGCTGGGGTGCCATGCCAGCCTCCTGGCCTAGCAGCTGGGCTCCTCCATGTGAGCCCAGCAACCTGCTTCCATTCCTCCTCCACCTCTGAGAGCCCCTTTCACTTCAGGACTCGGCTCCCCTCCTTCCATGTGCCCACCCCGCCAGGTCTCTGCAGTCTTGCTGTCAAGTAATCTGTGGACCTTCAGCTGCACTTGGGGGTCTCAGAGGCATCTCAGGCCTCAGTCTGGCAGAGTAAATGAGACCAGTGTCAGAGACATCAAGTCACGAACTTTGTGGTGCACGCTCGCCCTTGTTTCAAACCCAGCAGCTCTGCCCTCCCAGCTCATCGGAAGCACCTTGCATTTGGTCGCAGAAGTTTCTGTGATAAGCCAGAGGAGCAGGAACTCCCCACACACCTCCTTCAGGCCCTGGTTCTAAGTTACACACCCACCAGTCTCTTGGGCAGAGTCTCAGCTGTAGGCCCTATGCAGCAGCTCGGAAGAGGAAACTCCAAAATGCCCTGTGGGGTTCCCTTTTTTTTTTTTTTTGGATGATGATGACGATGACCTCTTTTATCTTTTTTTTATTATCTTATACTTATTTGTCAATTCAGCATTTTTCAGATGTACAGACACTCAGTATTTCCTATAGCAACCCACCCTGTTCCATGTTCTCCAGACCCTAGTCACCACCAAGAGAACTTTGGTCTCTGCAGCTTTGTCTAGAAAATGGGCATCGTGTCCCCAGCCTTGAGGAGCCTGGTACTGTGGCTCAGGGAGATGGTCATGATTGGGAAGTGGCGGCAGCAGAGTTGGGCTTTGAGATCGGATATGGCTCTGGGGCAGATGGAGACATAGCTGGGAGGACGGCCTTGGCCATAAGGGACACTGTCCTTCTGTTCCTGACTCCTTTTCAGGGGTTTAGGGTTTATCCATGTTGTGGAACGCATCAGGATGTCATTTCTTTTCACAGCTGAGTAGTGTTTCTTTGTGTAGTGGTGTGTTTACACCAAGTTGTGATGGTTGTTTTGGTTATCTCCACTCCAGCTGTTGTGAATGGTGCTGCAGTAAATTTTGGGGGACGTGTGTTTGTCTGTGTTTGCGTTTGAGTATCCTGACTCTGCACCTGGAAGTGGAATTGCTGAGTCATATGGTGATGCTATGTTTAACTTTTCAAGGAACCACCAGACTTTGCCACGGTGGCTGCACCATTTTACCTCCCCACCACCACTCTTTCTCCACATCTTCTGCAACATGTTTTTCGTTTGGTTTTGTTTTTAGCCATTCTAGTGAGAATGAAGTGAGTGGTATCTGATTGTGGGCTTGATTTGCATCTCCCTAAGGCACTTGACTGCTTACCAGAAGGCTGGCGGTTCAAACCCACCAGCCACTCCTTGGAGGGAAGATGGGGCAATCTACTTCCGTAGCGATACTGCCTCGGAAACCCAAAGAGGGGTCACTATGAGTTGGGTCCTACACGATGGCACATAACAACAACAACAACAAGGACCAGAAAGGAGTTCTGGTGGCGTAGTGCCTAAGGTACTTGACTGCTAACCAGAAGGTTGGCAGTTCAAACCCACCAGCCCCCAGGCTATTTCCATAGAGATACCACCTCAGAAACCGAAGGGGGGGGGGTGTCGAGTTGGATTTAACTTGATTGCAGTGAGTTTGGTTTGATTTGGTTTAAGGACCAAAAAGAATTGGCCATTTCAGGACACAGCATATGATCAAGAAGTGATGGTACTGAAGAAAGAAGTCCAAGTTGCACTGAGGAGTTGGTGAAAACCAAGGCTTCAGGAGTTGACAGAATACCCACTGAGATGTTTCAACAAACGGATGCCACATTGGAGCCGCTTACTTGTTTATACCAAGAAATTTGGAAGACAGTACCTTGTTCACCAATTGGAAGAGATCAGTGTTTGTGCTCGTTCCAAAGAAAGGTGACCCAACAGAATCCGGAACTCATCAAGCGTATCATTAATAGCACATCCAAATAGCATTGTGCTGAGGACAGTTAAAAAATGGTTGCAGCAGACTATTGTCACAGAACTGCCCAACATTCAAGCCGCATTCAGAGGAATGAGGGATACCATAGTTGATGTCAGATGGATCTTGGCTGAAAGCACAGAATACCAGGAAGATGTTGGCCTGTGTTTTATTGACTATGCAAAGGCATTTGACTATGTGGATCATAACAAATTGTGGCTAATGTTACAAAGAAAGGGAATTCCAGAACACTTCATTGTGCTCATGAGGAACCTGTACATAGATAAAGAAGCAATCATTTGAACAGAACAAGGGAATATTGCATGGTTTAAAATCAGGAAGGGTGTGTGTCAGATTGTATCCTTTCACCATACTTATTCAATCTGTATGCTGAGCACATAATACGAGAAGCTGGACTATGTGAAGAAGAACACGGCATCAGGATTGGAGTAAGACTCATTACAACCTGCAATATGCAGATGACACAACCTTGCTTGCTGAAAGTGAAGAAGACTTAAAGTACTTATTGATGAAGATCCCAGACTGCAGCTTTGTGGGGGGATTATACCTCAACATAAAGAAAACAAAAATCCTTACAACTGGACCAGTAAGCAACATCATGAAAAATGGAGAAAAGGTTGAAGTTCTCAAGGATTTAATTTTACTTGGCTCCACAATCAGTACTCATGGATGGAGCACTCAAGAAATCAGACAGTGTATTTCATTGGGCAAATATGCTACAAAGGACCTCCCTAAAGTGTTAAAGAGCAAAGATGTCACTTTGAGGATTAAGATGAGCCTGACCCAAGCTATGGAATTTCAGTAGCCCATATTCATATGAGAACTGGACAATAAAGAAGACTGTAGAAGAATTGATGGATTTGAGTTGTGGTGTTGATGAAGAATATTGAATATATCACGGACTGGTGGAAAAACAAATAAATCTATCTTGGAGTAGGTACAGCTGGAGCGCTCCTCAGACATGAGGAGAATGGCCAGACTTCATCTCTCATACTTTGGTCATGTTGTGAGAAGGACATACCTCTGGAGAAAGGTATCATGGTTGGTAAACTAGAGGGTCAGCCAACAAGGGGACAGCCCTCATCGTGGTGATTGGCGGTGAGGCTGCAGAGGTGGGCTCAAGCATTGCAGTCACGGAGGATGGCACGGCACCGGGCAGTGTTTCATTCTTTGTACATGGGGTTACTATGAGTTGGGAACCAACCCAACAGCACTTAACAACAAAGGATTGAGGAAGGAGCTCTGGTGGTGCCGTGGTTAAAGCGTTTGGCTGCTAACCAAGAGGTCAGCGGTTTTGAAACCACCAGCCACTCCACAGGGGAAAGGTGAGGCATTCTGCTTAGGTGAAGATTGGCAGCCCTGGAAACCCTATGGGGCAGTTCTACTCTGTCCTGTAGAGTGGCTGTGAGAATCATGGCACTGGGTTGGGTTTGTTTGGGTTTTTTTTTTTTTTTTTTTTTTTTGTATTTCTAAGGATGGATGGTGCTGAGCTCCTGTTCACAGGCTTATTGGCTGTTTGGATACCTTGTCTCTCTTTGTGTGTGTGTGTGTATAATTTGGGTGAAAATTTACAGAGCAAATTTACTTTCCATACAGCAGCTCACATATACCTCAGGTAAATGTTCAACTCCTATGCCTGTCTTTTGTTTGGCTGGAAGCCATAGGTGTGGGTTAAATTCCAGGCCTGAAGGGCAGCTAGGGGCCGTAGTCTCAGGGGTTCCACCACACTCTGTCAGACCAGCAAACCTGGTCCTTTTTTCTTTTTATATGATTTTGAGTTTTGTTCCACATTGTTTTCCCTCTCTATCAAGGATCTCCTCCATAAATCCCCCTCTGAGCGGTTGACAGCGGTAGCCAGGCACCATCTAGTTATTCTGGTCTCATAGTTGTATAGGCTGAGGGTTGCATGGTGTACCAGTCCCTTGGACTAATTGTTTCCATGAATCTTTGGTTTTCTTCATTCTTCTTTGCTCTGGACGAGGAGAGATCCATCGTTGCATCTAGATGGCCACTTGGAAGCTTTTAAGATCCCAGTTGCTACTCGCCAAAGTAGGATGTGGAACAATGTTTTGTGTAGTATGTTATGCCAGTTGAGCTTGATGTCCCCTACAACTATGGTTCTTAGTCCACAGGTCCAACTACTCACTCCCCCTGGGTCACTGACTGTGGCCAAGAACTGACTACAACCTTGTCTCTTGTCAGCTTTACTCCGTAATTCTACCATTTCTAATACCTGGGAATTCTTAAGAGAACATATGGATACATTTGTAGAAACATTTCCGGTCAACCCTATACGTGTGGATACCTTGTCTCTTGAACTGTCCAAGTCCTAGGTCATGCAGGCAAAACCCGGATTGCAGATAATCTGACTTATGTGCAACCCATAGTTACGACCAACCCCTGTAAAGCCTATTAAAAATTCACAGTACACAAAATAGTTTGCGGTAACAAATGGGCGCTACTCTGTAACATGTCACGTGTCACTACTGTGTTATGTTAAAGGTGTTCTGGTGTACCTGGAAGGGTTTCTTTAATGCTTTTTATGGACAGAAAGGTACTAAGAAAAACTTTTTTCTTTTTTGTCTGCATTTCCCCCATTTTGATCAGGATTCATCTATGGAATCTTTGATCAAACTGTTCAGTAACCATTGAGCACCATCCATTTCTGGTCTCATGGCAGTTGCTCATGGGGGCAGTAAGACACATTCCATATCATCCTCCTAATCTGACTTCTCTTATTCTGCTGTTGTTCTGGTTGAATAGAGACCAATTATTATGCCTTGGATAGCTGCTTACAAGCTTTTTTTTTTTTTTCGAATTGATTGATTGATTGAGATTTGGGTGAAGATTTACAGAGCAAATTCACTTTCCATACAGCAGTTCACATATACTTTGTCTCATGTCATTGACCACAGTTTACCACAATG